TCGCGGTGGGAGGGAGGGAGGGTCCTTCGCTGCGGAGAGGGGATGGAGGGGGGCGGGGGAACGGGGAGGGAGGAGAGAGGGAGGAAGGAGGGAGAGGGCGGAGCTGAAGGCAAGAAGGAAGCAACAAGAGGGAGGGAGGAAAGAGGGGAGGAGGAAGTTCAGACCTCCTGGCGTCGCGACAAACATCAGGACCACGTTTTTTGTGTTGTCGTCTGTCCTCCAGAGGCCCCCACCAGGTCCCAGGGCCTTCAAAAAACGGTTCATGATTCATGATTGAAAAGCTGGCCCTGGGGTAGGTGAGGAGATTTTTCGGGTGTCCGCGGTGTGGAACAAACACGACGCCAAAGGCCTCAGGGGAAAGGGATGGGTGGATGGGGGAGGGATGTGGGAGGGAGAGAGAAAGGATGGAGTAGGGAGGGAGGGAGGGATGGAGGCGTCTCGTGCTGGGTTTGTTTTCTGGTTTTTCGCCCAGTGCCTGCCCGAGGGTGCCTCATGCGCTGGAGATTTCACCGCATGGCGTGCCATACATCTTGCACAAAAGGTTTGCACCACGGCACCATCCCGTTGGGTGCAAGTCTTGACGAGGCGCTCTGAGCACCAAAGGAGGTGTTTGGCAGGGACAAAAGCGTCGTTCAGTATTGACAGTCAGTCCCAGCTGTGGGCTCGTATCGGCGCGGGGGTGCGCGGATGGCGGGCGGCGGCGACGATGGTTGGCGACCAGTGCTCAAGAAGGGCGAAAAGTTTCTCGAGTGGGGGACAGGCGGAGGCCGGGCCGGAGCAGCCGCCGCGGGCGGGCCAGGGATCTGGACTTGCGGCAACTGCGGCACGGGGACTAACTGGACCAGCCGCACGGAGTGCAGGGCTTGCGGCGCGAAGCGGGTGGCGGCATGGCCCAAGTGCCCAACCCTTGGCTGGAGGCGGCGCGGCAGGCGCGGACTCCCTCGGCAAGCAGGGCGCGGTGGCGGCAGCCAAGCAGCTCGAGATCAAGAGCAAGAAGTTGCAGCGGCAGCTCCAGAAGATGCAGGAAGCCTTGGCGCAGGCGCAGGGACTCTAGGCACGGGGAGTGAGCTTCCGTGGGTCAAGGGCAAGGTCAAGGACAATCCTAGCGAGGTGGAGAAGCTGGTGGACAAGCGGAAGAGGCTGGAGCACTCTGTGGTTTATTTCACGGACAATGGCCAAGAAGTCCTTGGCTCCCTCTTCGACGTGCAGGAAGATGTGGGGGAGGAGCTTGCGGAGGCTCGCGCTGCATGGGACCAGGCCAAACCGTGGGCGGTCCAGCAGCGCGAGGCGTCGGCCAAGCGGGCCAAGAGCAACAAGCGGTTGGAGCAGTTGGTGGACGCGACCACTGAGGCGCAGCAGGCGCTGGTCGCGTTGCAGGCGCAGCAGGTGCAGGTGGGGGCCAAGGCACAGGAGCTCGCGCTGCTGGCAGCCGCTGAGGCGCATAAGCCATCGCCGCCAGCCCGCGTGCGTGCCGACGACGTGGGCCTCCTGCGCGCCCAGCTCGAGCAGCTGGCCATCAAGCACGGCAAGTCGCTGGCCGCGCGCGCATATTCGACTTCGCGGCCCTGGCGGCCGACGCTGACTAGCGGCGCGAGGCCGAACCAACAGCTGCGGTTGTGCCTCCTGCTTCTGGTCAGCCTGGCGACGCAGGGTGCGGCGCGCAGCGGCCAGCAGGAGACGACGTGGCAGTGGGCCAGGACGTCGGCCCCGACCTGGACGAGGAGGAGCGAGCGCGGCTCCTTGGCGGCGCCGCCCCCCCAGATGCAGCCGCCCAGCCTGGGGGTCACGAGCGATGCCGCAACGCCCTGCAGATGCAGCATGGGCGGTGGTACGTTGTACCTGGTGCTGCAGGGGCCCACCGTGGGACGCCTTGCGCCCCCGTGGCGCGAGCCCGCGTCGGCTTGCTTAAGAGGGAAAGCTTAAGGCTGCCCTGGCCAGAGGCGGACCTGGACGTCCGAGGGGCAGGAAGGCCACGAGGCAGCGACCTGGACGGCGGCGGGCGGAACGACCGCGGGCCGAATCCCATGGAAGTTGAAGGCCACGAGAGGGCAGCGGCAGAGAACCGAGGTAGCGGCCTGGGCGACGCGGGCAAGGCGCAGGAGGCCTACCCAGGCGCAATGGAGCGTGGGCCCGCGGGCGCGCAGACGGAGCTGGCGGGCCGCGCGGCGGCGGCGGTCGCGGCCCAGGCGCAGCCGGGGGCGAGCGGGCAGCCCCGCGGCGCCACGAGGGTAGGCAGCCACGCTGCGGCGCTGGCAGACAGGGCCCGACGGTGGCAGTCGCGGCCGAACGAGGTCAAGGGCAGCAGCGCCAAGGACGGCGAGGTCGAGACCCGGGCGATCAGCGGCTCGGGCCGGGGCGCGGGCGGGGCCGGGCTTTTGGAGGCCAGGGGGCCGAGCAGGTGCTGCGACCGCGCCGAGGCGCGACGCCGTTGCCGCGGCGCAGAAGTCGCTGGCCAACGAAGGATGGCCGCCGGCGCCAGCGGCAGCGGTGGCGGCCGCGGGCGGCTGCGACGAGGTAGGCGCGTCAGCTGGAATGGCGGGGGCAGCGCCCAAGCGCGCGGGCATGGCCCACCTGGTGGGGGCGACGTCGTGGGGCATTGCGCCCGCGGGCGGCAAGGGCCGAGCAGCTATGGCACGGGTGGCCACGGGCGGAGGTTGGAAGGAAATGTGTGTTTAGTGTCTGCTCAAGTTGCTGCAGCCAAAACTGTTACTTCACTTGGCCAGGATTTGCGCCGGGCGCGAACGCCACCGTTCCCCGCGGTCGCGGGAAGAGAATGTTACAATAATAGTTTGGGGATTCGGTGGCATGAAAGCGAAGGTTTGCCCAATGGCGCGATTGGCCTCCGGTTTGACTGCAAGCGAGCGGTCGACGAGCGACGGGCCGCCAGCATTCCAGCGCGCATCTCCCGGAAGGGGAGCGGCGGGCGCATTTGCCGAGCCCCTTTTCCGTCGACGTCCGCTCGCCGACGGCGAACCTATCCGGGCAAGAACGGGAAGCGCCGCTTCTCTGAGCTTGCGTGCGCAGGCGCGCGGATTCCCACGCAAAGCGGAATGCGCCCCGAAATCGCTGCATAAATATTCAATGGGGCCCGAAATCGCTAGATAAATTGCGCGGGCCCCGAAATCGCTATGCAAATACCCCGTTGGTCCCGAAGTCGCTGTATAAGTATTCCGCGGGTCCCGAAATCGGTATATAAGTCTTGCGTGGACCCCGAGATCGCTATGGAAGTATTGCGTGGGCCCCGACCCGCCGCCGCTTCACCCAACTATCCAAGGCGCCTGCCCCCCGGACCTCAGGATTCTTTCCCTGGGACCTGCTCTTCCCCCTCCTCCATCACCCCCCCTCCTCCTGTTCTGTTCTGGTGGGGGGGAGGGGGGGAGGGAGAGGGAGAATGGCTCTTCAATCCAAGTGGGCAGGGTCGAGAGTCCCGGCCAACGTCGCAGCCCGACGACCAGGGCACACCCGAACGCATCCTCCTCCTCCTGCTGTTCCTCGTCCTCGTCCTCCTCGCCCCCCTCCTCCTCCTCCTCGTTCACCTCGTCCTCCTCGTCCTCCTCCTCCCTCCTCCTCCTCCTCCCTCCTCCTCCTCCTCCTCCTCCTCCTTCAGTTCCTCTTCCTCTGCCTCCTCCTCCTTCTCCTCCTCCTCCTCCTTCACCTCCTCTTCTTCCTCCTCCTCGTCATCGTCATCATCCTTCTCCTCCTCCTCTTCCTCCTCCTCTTCCTCCTCTCCCTCCTCCTCCTCATGTTCCTGCTCCGTATCCTCATCACCCTGCTCCTTGTCCTGCTCGCCCTCCTCCCCCTCGTCCTCGTCCTCCTCGTCGTCGTCCTCCTCATCCTCCTCCTCCTCTTCCAACTCCTTTTCCTCCTCCTCCTCCCCCTCCTCCCCGTAGCCATTTTGGCTCAATCCATTTTGGCTCAAGTAAACCATTTCTCGAGGTGGTTTGCAGAGACCAGGGGCCTGCCCAGCAGGCTCGGCCCGCGCATCAGGGGCCTGCTGGGCAAGGCAGGCGCCCTCGCATTTTCACGCTCCGTGGAGCTCCCGTACTGCACTGGCTGGGCAGGAGATCAGTTCTTCACGGCCGCGCATGGGGCGCAAGGCGAAGGATGATCAGCAGACTGGAAGCCAGTGCGCGAAGTGCAGGGGATGTGGATATAAGTGGAACTGGGCCACCAGGTCGGAGTGCTACATGTGCAAGAGGGGGTTACAGCCAGCCACCTCGCAGGAGCGAACCCCGCAGGGCGCCCGGGGCTCCAGCGGTGCCTCCTCGCGGCGCCGCAGCCGCCCATCGGTCAAGCCGAACCGCGAGGAGCGCCTCAAGCAGCTGCGGGCCACCATCCCCGACGGCGACGCCGAGTCCGCCCAGCGCCTCGAGGCGCTCGCCCGCGTGCAGCCCCCGGGGGTGCACCCAGACGTCGCCCTCAACCAGGCCCAGGCGCGGCTCCGCAGGGCCGAGGCGGCGCTCAAGCGGACCATCGAGAGCATCTCCGAGGGCGAGCAGTGGCTGCAGGACCAGAAGGAACAGCGGGATACCTGGGTCCTCGAGGTCGCCGACGCTGAAGCGGCGGTCCAGGCGGCCTACGCTCGAGCGGCGCCCAAGGCCGT